ATAAGTCTGGGCGAAAGCCATAGAGGTGCAGCGTAGCAGAGCAGAGAGTGAAAACCTGAAACTGGGAGCATGAGCGAAAGCCCCTGCGATCTCAGAGAAAAGAGGAAAGAGCGGCGAAGCCCCTGCTATCAGCTTGAGACCGAGGACGACACAGCCGTCGCAGCCCAACGTAAGAGCAGAAACGAAACTGTCATGCGAGCAGAGACGCACGAGCAGAAATGAAACTGAAACAGGGAGCAAGAGCGGCTAATCCCCTGCGATCAGCTCGAGCCCGAGGACGACGCAGCTAACGCACGAGCAGAGACGCAAAAGCAGACACGAAGTCGACGTGTGACAGCAGCGACAACGTTGAGAGAGTTAGACCGAAGAGAAGCAGTGGAGTAATAACCAGGGATCACCATGGCAAAACACTAGCAAAGCGTGAGCACGAGCGCCATATTATCTATGTATATATATGATATATATATTGAAACGCCCAAGGGCAAATTTTATTGAAATTGAAAAGGTAGATAAAGGTTGTATGAGAGGACCCAATAAAGGCGCCCTACCCATACGATACACAGACACTAACATCCTAAAAAAGATAAAACTCTAAAATTCAAAACTCGCAGAAAACAAGTTGCTAAGGACGAGCCAGCTTGGTCTTGCCCCTGCCTCTGGTTCTAAAAACAGAGTCAGCTAACAAATTGTTATTGTTGAGTGTCGTGTCTGAAGTTATTAAAATATCATTCATTAAGTTCCCAAGCTGGGGTGTGCCTCCATTCTTCTTTTTCTTCCTAGATGTGTATATTTGTCATTCCTCATCCAAAGACTGACTCATCTGATCGGTGTGGTCAACAGATTGTTGGGCATGTAGGAGTATGTAGAAGAGGATGAGCTCCTAGCTCCTTACTATCAGTGACAACATTCTCATTCTGAAGAGATGGTAAACATGTCTCCTCAGCACCTGATGCTTCCTGAGGATGTAGAGCTGTGATACTATCCTGAGTGCAATAAATCAGTCGGAAGAACAGAAACAGTGGGGCAGGCAGTGATAGAGACTGTATCCTTTAGAGGTAAGGTAAGGATATCCTTTAGAGGTAAGGATCCTGCAGTATTATTTTCAACAGTGATAGAGACTGTAAGTGAACCATCTGCCAATACATCAGTC